CAGACCGCTGGTCATGCTACGCCTCTAAACCATAAGCAAGTAAAACGTCAGAAATGGAAATTTAAATGGAAAGCAAATTCTCCTTGAAGAGGAAGGATCCTGACAAACCCAGTAAAGTTAGGAACTCGTCCTACAACAAAAAAAGGGAGGCAACCGGTAGTCCTGTGTCTGAAACAGGCCAGCCCTCCAACGAATGTAAAAAATGCAAAAATACATTATCGCAAAGTCTTACGGCATGTCGCCTTGACATACCGTCAGAAAGAAAGAAATTACTCGGAACGAATTCCGAGTAGGGAAAGGGAGTGCCCCAGTGGCCAGTTGCGCTAACTGGAACCACATTGAACGGACTGGACAAAATGGTGCTACAGGCGATATGGCTTTGCCGTGCATGCCATAGCGACAACTAAGTGTCGGCCTGATCAAAATTACCTAATTAATTTACTAATATAGGCGTAAACAATTAAACAGCTACTATACCAAACGGTATAACTCGTGGCAACTCAGGGTGTGGTGATTAGCAAGATGTTGTTCCATCACCACTTGGATGGGTTTTAGCTACAGGCCGTACGATCTCGCAATGAATATCGTAGCAAAAATTGTTGGCCTGACGGAAAAGTCCTGAAATACTTTAAGAAAATCTCAAAGATAGGGACAAGTTTTATGCTAGGTGATAATTAACGCATATCAAACGCCTAATAGGGTCAAAATCCGTAATCAAAATCAGTAAAAGTCAAAATCGGTAATTACTTAAGCCAGTGGGGGGGTCTATAGCATAAAACATAAAGTGGGGGAATAACTTCTTCAAGAAGTAAAAAAAAAATTTGAGTTACCACATACACGGAAATTTAAGCATAACTTAACCTAACTTAAAGATGACAAAAACAAATCTAGATATCTATATACAAAATACTCATGAGCATGTCTTGCTCCACAAGTATGTCGACATCGGTGCCTCACCAATAAAGTGCGCAACGACAATAACAAGTCTCCGTTAAGACTTGACGATAATCACCAGTAAGGTGCAAAAAGATAATAGTAAGTCACTAGTAAGACTTACTATTCGATACGATACGATAATATTATAGAAAGGTCCACAAAGCAAAAATTTTCAAATTGACCTACTCTATAATGAAATGAAACTTTTGTTAGCTATGAGTTACACCGATACGAGCAGTTCACGCTCCGATACTGAATAATTTAGAAACATGGTTAATATAAAAAATTACCAAAAACAACCATGATTCTCTATTAATTCGAGATATAACAGGATTCATACAATAAAAAATTTCCATAAAACGTATAATAATAATTATTATAATTAAATAATTATTTTCCTTAACCTTTTCAAACGAAATCGACAAAATACTCTAACATGATGCATTAAAACTTTGACCATTTGTTTTGAACAAAAAGGTCCGCTTCAAGTAAGTACCTATTTGCTAAACTCTTGCTTATAAAAAATTTTAAAAATAAAAATAACCAGCAAGATCATTCTCGAAATTATTCAAATTTTTGCGTAACTCATAGCTAAATTTCTAAACTACCTACAGTAGTACATACTCAAAGATACAAAAGGTACAAAACATTACGATACAATACATACGAAAACCAAGGTGCAGCTCGGTACACAGGTTTTAACGAAAACAGCAAAAACACATACATCACCACACTCCGTAATAAAAAAAATTATAAAACATAAGATCAAGAAACAACATTCGAGGCCCCACGTTGGGCGCCATTTTGTGTAACCTCAACTCGAGGGTATGGCGAACGGCAGCTTTACAGTGGTGAGATAGGTCGATGGGCAAATGTTGTTTCTCAATACTTACGTGTTTTTACTAACATAAATCCAAAATTGGGCGCCAGTGTCTTATTATGGCCAGTTGTTAAACTCTAAGTAAGTCAGACACAATCTTACTAAAGACTAAGGGTGGTTATTGAAAGTCAAGTTTAAAAAAAATATAAATTAGTTATATTTGTTCACCGATGTTGAAATGATCACTTTGCATGTAATAATAAATATTTTGGTGCACCCTTATATGGCCATATATTGTTTACAAAAACCAAAGTCTGATAACTGACAAAATATTATTGATGCTACAAAAAAAATATACTTAAAATAACTATTTTGAACTCTCAACTTAAAAGTACACAAACAAAATATATTATAAGGAGTGTAGTGTACGTGAACTTTAATATTCAAAATTGGTACGACCTGTTCGTAGTTGGGGCCCTGGTAGATTGTGTCTTCGAATGGGTTGGCTTCTGATGTTGAAGTCTCCTACCATGTCAGATTATACAGGATGGCTTTTAAATAACGTAAGAACTTGCCATTATCCAAAACAAGTTCAGGGTAAAAAACCATTCCTTTACAACAAATCTGACATAAAAAGTCTTACAAAAAACTTCAACATAAAAACCCTAAAAAAAATATGGTATGATGCCCAAGCATCTAAAAAACTATTAACCGCCTAACTTACCCTTGTTTAAAGGAGTTTTTATAACTATACAACGTCAGGACTGGATAAAGACCAAAAATGAGGGAATAACACAACCCTAAAATGGAGAACCTCGTGGATAAAACATTTAATTTCAGCAACAGGTCAAAAACTCACCCAGAGCTCATCGTACCACACGAAAAGTGTCTTGGTCGGAATTATACAATTAGATTGAGAGATTTACCACGTATTTTTGGAAATTTTCCATAATTTAAGCACAAACTTAACTCTCATCTAATCGCTTCAACGACCAAATCGAAAAAGGAAAACGTAAACCTTATTAAGTGCGTAGAAGATTATTTAAACAAAAAACACAATGTTGCCTATGTTAAAAAACATTTTTAAAAAGAATTCCCACAAAGTTCACCAGAACTCAAGCTTCAAACACAAATACTCCCTTAGTAAACCCTACACTTATACTGATACGCCCCTAGTAACATACTCAAAAACCCAAATACATACCCCCCTAAACGCAATTATTTGAAAAATTCCCTCCACTGACACTTAACTGTCAACAACGGCGAACCAGCTACCAAAATGAATATATTAATTATAATTATCATTATAACTACATACAACCAACCTCACACGGAAGTGTTTGTGTTGCATACTATCAAATTACCGTTTTTGAATAAAATTAAAAGAAATGGCTTAAAAAGAGTTTTAAATACCGGCAATGCTATTCATGTGTCAGTAAAAGGAATTCCAATAAAACTAATAGATAAACAACTAAACAAATATCCTTTTTAACAATAGTTAAACTTAAAATAAATCAACTAAATGGTTCACATCCAAACCGTTCTAGATGTAAAAAAAACTAATAAAATAAAATAAATGGGTAGCTGTCAAAATGACGGTTACAATTAACTTTCTTAAATATGGCATTTATTTTTACTTTCTATAATATTTTACAATTTATTAAGTTTGTGATAAATGTAATATTTTTTAAGAAAATTTAAAAACCTAAAATATCTTGCCAAAAAAATAAAAAGAAATATTACAAACTTAACAAATTGCCTTACAAATTATTGTAAAAACTGTAAAAAACTATAAAATTTTAGTTTTTTTTAGGTTTTGAAATAAAATATAAAAATATATTTTCTAAGAAAATTTATTTTAGAAAGTTTGTGTTTATCTTACATAATATTTTTTTAGGAGAATTGTTAAGTTTGTGATACAAATTTGTTTAATTTATTCTGTATAGTAGTCCAGAAAACAAAGATTGTAGAAGGAAAACTCGATGGTTGTCGGGTTTTATTTTTTTTATGTAGAGTCAGGGGTGCTGATAATGAATCAATAATATTCCCCAAAAATTTCTTTCCGCGTCCCCTAATTTCGTCCCCCGAAAGGGGAGTTTTTTTGCTTTTTGGCTCATAACTCGCTAACCGTGCATTTTTTCAGAATTTGACCTCCAATACTTTTGATTATGTGCTAAATAAAGCACACGTTAAACCCCATTGCGCACCTATATGATGTGTCCTTTTGCTATTCACAGTGTGCAAAGTTAAGCGTTGCTTTCAAAATCATTTTTTTGTTTTTTTTTCAAAAGTTACTTCTTTTTAATGTACAGGGGGTTCTTTTTTAAAAACTTTAATTTTTGTGAGGCACTTGCAATGAAAATAATTTAAAAAACTACAGACTCGTTACAAGGATAAGTGTACCTAAAAATCTAGGGTCATTAAAGCCGTTTGGGAAATAAAAAATGGGTCTTTTGGAAAAAGAACCCCCTGTACATTAAAAAGCAGGAACTTTTGAAAATAGTCTAGTACCTTAAAAAATCGTCCATTCGGTTATGTTTGACTACCTTAAGGTTTGGGATCGATTACTTTTAAAATTGGGCTATAATAAAAAAAACAAAAAAATGATTTTGAAAGCAACGCTCAACTTTGCACACTGCGAATAGCAAAAGGACACATCATATAGGTGCGCAATGGGGTTTAACGTGTGCCTTATTTAGCACATAATTAAAAGTAATGGAGGTCAAATTCTGAAAAAATGCACGGTTAGCGAGTTATGAGCCAAAAAGCAAAAAAACTCCCCTTCGGGGGATGAAATTAGAGGACACAGAAAGAAAACCCCTGACTACATAAAAAAATAAAACCCGACTACCATCGAGTTTTCCTTCTACAATCATACCAATGTATATCCAACATAGTAAACATCACATTGATATGAGGCGCCGTTCAGGACATAATTAATTTTTCTGATATATACATTTTATTTGCAAATATTTATATAATTTGTATGTATTTATAAAATTTTTCCATATATATATAATTTTTTTTAAATATTTTTATTTTTTTTATATATATAAAAGTTTTTATTAATATTCAAAAATTTCTATACCTCAAAAATTTTTCTATATCTCAAAAAATTTTCTATACACCAAAAAATTTCTATACCTCAAAAAAGCGTTTGGCAAACTTTGTGATAAAAACAGCTTTTTTATTACGCCGCTAGATGGCAGCGCTGAAAGCCGCTTTGAGCAACTATTATCTATACGTTTGACAACTAGTGCTGATACACAATTGCCCGAAGCAGCGTTAGCGTTTCACAATCAATCAAAAAGGTAATTTAAAAGTTATGGAGTTTTGTTCAATTGACGACTTTTTTAATGAATTGCTGATGTGTTTTGAATCAATTTCCCAAATGCTTTTAAGCAACGACTTGGAAGTATTACGAATCAAACAATTGGAATTGGAGGATTATTACACACTGTTATTTATATTTCATAAAAATGTTATTTTGATGAAAAATTAATAGTTTTAATTCATTTTAATCCCAGGTAACATTATGTTTACAAAATATGCATTCAAAAAATCATTATAGATCATAGAATAAGAATAAACGCTAAAATCCCTGTTTGTTCCCGTTTGATTGTGAACGCTTCTTCTTCTTCTTCGTTACTGCTATCCTTACTTCATTCAGGATAGCGCTGTTGGCCTTTAGTCTGTAGACTATTTGGCCAGCTCATTCCTTTTTGTGCTAAGTCCACTAGAGGATTCCGTTAGGAATGCCTGGGTAGACCCATCCTCTAGTTTGTTGTTGTTGGTTTGGTGTATTGCTCCTTTTTTTTGTAATTGGGTTTAGGATTTTTGGTTGGGTTATACAGTGTGTACTGTTAGTATTCCTTGAATGACGTATACAAAAATTAACCCCAATACGAGCAAAGGTTAAGTGACAAAAAAAAAGAAAAAAAAAACAGTTTAGTTAATTAGTACCATTTTTATAATTTTTTCTTTGCGCATGCATGCTTTAATTAATCTTTATTAAAGTTAGTAGGGAAAAACAAACCAAGCAAAACAAAGGTTAAAGAGGTTCCCTCTACTGCCAACAGACATTTATCCCTCAGCCCATACTATTATTGCCTTTCTACATCTACTAAGGCACGTTTCACTACATAAGCTAAGCTCACACAATTATATTGTTGGTCTCAATGAATTTGATAATTTGTTTAACATTTGTAGAATTGATTTCCTTTAAAATTGTGGTCATTCTGGCCGGCGTTGTTATGCCGGATCTTGTAAGGTCTGTGTATAATTTATTACTGTTATTAATGGGGCATTCTAATATACAGTGTGTAATGCTGTCGATTTGTCCACATTCACAGTATGGGTCCTCGGTGAGTCCCATCCTGTGAAGGTGGGCCCTCGTTTTGCACTGCCCTGCTCGGAGCCTAGCTATTATTGTGAAATGACGTTTTATTAGGTAGCCAAATTCGTTTATAAGACGTTGTTTTGGAAAGTTTTCGATGATTTCTTTATACCATTTACCTTTATTACAAATCTCACTCCATTCTAGATTGTTTTCTGTCGCGATCATTGTTTTAATTGTCGGTTCTAAGTCTGCAGAGGTAATTTTCTCGTTTTGGGAGTGTGTTAATGAGCGGCCAAAGTTAGCAAGCCAGTCCGCAGTCTCGTTGCCTTGTATCCCAGAGTGTCCCGGGATCCACGCGAGCGTAAAGGCAAAGCCTTGTTCAGCCGATCTCATTAAGCTTTGTTTTGTTTCTAATGTTAGATGGTCGTCTTTCGCGCTGAGGCTAATGTTAATGATTGTGAACGCTGCTTCGGGCAATTGTGTATCAGCCCTAGTTGCCAAACGTACAGATAATAGTTGCTCAAAGCGGCTTTCAGCGCTGCCATCTAGCGGCGTAATATGAAAGCTGTTTTTATCACAAAGTTTGCCAAACGCTTTTTTGAGGTATAGAAATTTTTTGGGGTATAGAAATTTTTTTGAGATATAGACAAAATTTTGAGGTATAAAATTTTTTGAATATTAATAAAAACTTTTATATACAGTATGTCCCCGGATAGGGTTGCCAAGAGGAGAAACTTCTTTATTTTTCATTTTACGAGAAAAACTTATTCTTCATAATAGTTTTTGCTTGTTTTACATTTTACGAGAAAAATGTATTCTTCATAATAGTTTTTTGCTTGTTTCAAAATGGCTGAATCAGTTTCCACCGTTTCAAATTTCCTTTCCGTTCAAGAAAAACATAAAAAAATATGTCCTTTTAGTTGAATATTTGTTTAAATCCCAAAAATTACTTTTCGTTTTCATGGCAACAGTTAACACGACTATTGTTTATTAAGTTTTCATTGCAACAATTCAACAAAAATCAAGTTGTTTCATTGTTAGTCTAAAACGAAAATTTGTCAAAATTAATGACAATGTTGTCGAAAGAGCAACGAATTTATTTAATAGTGCTATGGTAAAGGTGATAAAGCAACCCAACGAGTTATAGAAGAATTCAATCAAAAGTTTCCCGATATTTACATCTCAAAATGTGGTGCACAAAAATTAATAAAGAAATTCTTAATTACTGGCTCCGTTTTGGATGTAAAGAAAATTAAGGTAGATCGCAATGAAGATGACGCTTCCAATCTTATCGTAACGGATTCGATACAAAATAATCCGAAACTTTCTTTACGACGAAGATCGCTTCAATTGGGGATAAGTAAAACACACATTCAAAGAATATTGAAACAATGTAACTTCATCCTTACAAACCAATTTTTAATCACGCTTTAGAGCACGGAGATCCCGCAAAACGTTTGGATTTCTGCTTGTGGATGGGTGCTCAAATCATGGATAATCAATACTTTTATCGAGATATTATATTTTCTGATGAAGCCACGTTCTCAACGAATGGTACTATTTCATCTCAGCATGTGAGGTACTGGAGCAATCACAATCCCTATTTCCGAATCGCTCGTAATCGACAATATTCGGCTAAAGTTAATGTATGGTGTGCAATTTCTTATCATGGTATAATTGGACCATATTTTTTTGAAAATACGGTTAATTAGCATACGATTTAGATATGTTACAACATTTTCTAAATGAAAGGTTGGACGATCTACCGATTAATTATCGTGCAAGGTGTTACTTTCAACAAGATGGTTGTCCTGTCCATTATGCTCGAATAGTTGTAGAATGGTTGAATCAGCAATTTGGAGAGAATTGGATCGGCCGAAATGGTCCTGTTTTATGGCCACCGAGGAGCCCTGATTTGACTATTGCGAATGATCTTCCTCCGAATATAGAACGTTTGAAGGAGAAAATCAGAGATTCTGTGGCGTCTTTACCGCTGGAAGAGATCAGAAACAGTTATAGGGAACTGCGTCGCAGACTTGAGCTATGCGTTCATGAAGGTGGTGAATGGATCGAGTGAAATTTATTAGTAGTTTAGTTATTTTGTTGAATTGTAATAAAAACTTAATAAATGTTCGTTTTAGACTGAAAATGAAACGACTTGATTTTTGTTGAATTGTTGCAATAAAAACTTAATAAACAATAGTCGTGTTAACTGTTGCCATGAAACGAAAAGTAATTTTTGGGACTTAAACAAATATTCAACTAAAAGGACCTATTTTTTCATGTTTTTCTTGAACGGAAAGGAAATTTGAAACGGTGGAAACTGATTCAGCCATTTTGAAACAAGCAAAAACTATTATGAAGAATACATTTTTCTCGTAAAATGAAAAATAAAGAAGTTTCTCCTCTTGGAAACCCTATCCGGGGACATACTGTATATAAAAAAAATAAAAATATTTTATAAAAATTATATATATATGGAAAAATTTTATAAATACATACAAATTATATAAATATTTGCAAATAAAATATATATATCAGAAAAATTAATTATGTCCTGAACGGCGCCTCAACATTGAAACCTATTAAGAAGATCTTTAGAAACTAATAAGGATTTATTGAAATCCTATACAAATGAATCGTAAAAATCCATATTAATGCGGTTTCAATCCATATTAATGCGGTTTCAAATGCCGAGTGCAATCCATATTAATGCGGTTTCAAATGCCGGGTGCAATGCGTATTGAAACCAATTTTCTATTTTTATTGGTTTCAATTGTGAATTTTTGGCAGGGAGGATAAAGTTTTTATTTTATTTTTATATATTGTATATTTAAACTGTTAAAGATGTAAAGTACAGTCATTAAAATGTTTTTTACTTTTTTAAAAATATTATTTGTTTCTCAAATAGCCCCACCCTAAGGGCAATTTGAGAACACAAACAAATAATTTTTTTGGGCACCCAGAGGATGCCCTCATTTCAAAGATAATACATATCCCTATTATAGATCTATCCAATATTTCCAAAAAATTGACCAGGTTTTGCTTCGTTTTGACGATATTGCTGAAAAACTTTTAAAAAATTAAAAAAAATAGGCCCATTCTACGGTATTATATTCATAATAGCCATGGTTAAATTTATTTACTACAAGTAAGTGTATTAAAATAAGTGATGGGTAAGGCCGATTGAAACTGAATCTTTGGACCAATTAAATAAAAAGTTTCTGGCTTTCCTGACGAATCTAAAAAAGGGCACTACTAAGAATGTTGAAATTAGTCAACGCAAGCTTTTTAGGCACGTCAAAAAAAATTACGTTCAAAAGCACTTTTTCCAGTGAATAAACGCAGATCCAGCAAAATAGGTATTAAATTTTAATCTAAATTTCAAAGTTAGGCTTATGCCCCCAACTAAACAGCTATAACACAGTCAATGGACCTTCTTTACAATTTAGTATATACTAAATAAGGTTTTTATCATAAATAACTATGTATTGCTACAGATTTTTTACAAGAACTTTTAAGAACGCCAGTATATATTTACATTTAGACGCAACTTTAAAAGTTTCTAAAGTTCTTGTTTAGGCAATTTTAAGATAAAACAAAGTACAGCTTTTATAATCTGGACTTGCAAACTTCACGCTGATTTTTTATTAAATGTGAGGAAAACGGGCCTAGTGACACACGTGATAAACCACCAAGATAAACTCTTACAGTAAATATACAAAAATTTTCGGAAAGAAAAACTCCTACAATTAATAAACAAAATAAATTTATCAGAAAGCCAAGAGTATAACAATGACAAAAGTCTTTACTTTACCAACTAGCCTTTAAGTTTAAAAAAAGTTTTAAAAAATTTCAGCTCTTGGTAGAAAAAAAATAAAGGATAAAATCACATTCACGCCTTAGATTAGGCCTGCACTACTTTCAAATCACTGTATCCAGATTGCTTGTAGTCACTTGGTGTTGGCTAAGCCAACTTGGCTTCCAACTTTCCATTTGGCCAAAATGCATTCTACACAGTACCGTAATAGATTTACGCACATTTAAACATGCGAAACAACTTGCTCTGGAAAATCCCTTCGACCCAAGGCTTTAAAAACATAGAGCCAGCAAGAAAGGGTAGATGATCCAAGCAATTTTCATGGACGGGTTAAAAAACTTTGTTGTTATGGCGAGAAAAAAATTAAATTTAATTGGATCTAAATGAAAACGTCCACAAAATGCCCTTCAAAAGAACATTTACTTCTCAAGTCCATGAACATGTTAAAAAATTTATTTTTCATGTATTGATCAAATATTCTTGGAGGCATTCAATTGTCTTCTAATCATCATTTGAATTAGCTGGTTCTTTTATAGTTTAATTATACTTTCCAAAATGCTTGAATTCAACATTTACGATTTTATTCTTAAAAATATTCGCCAGTATTGGAAGTGTTTCTGAAATTGACAATTTTGGTTTCCAACCATTACAACCATCACATTCAATTTCCCAGAGAAATTAATCTAAAATAAAAATAAAATAAATTTGCATTTAGGCAAGGATAAGAATTAACCATTAGATAGTTGACAATGACTATATTATTTGTGTTTTTTTAAGATCAATTTCAAGAAATACCAACTTTAATGTTTTTTAAAATCAAGTAGGACAGAAAGGGGCGTTGTAAAAATTAAAATTAATTTATTATTTTACTCATTTTTAAAATCATGTTTTTTTCTTTTGATAAATATTTTGAACATATATATTATTATTTGAAATATTTAAAATGAACTAAAATGTTTAATTTATATTTTACTGTTTATATGTTACATAATATTATTAAAGAAGTAATAGAGGTTTTTTGAAATATTGCCAAATAACACTTTGCAACGAAATGGAACATTATTATAAAATGGTTAAAAAATGTATTAAAAGTTATATTTTTAAAAATTAAAAAACATGGAAATAAGCCTTCCAATAATATATAATTATATGTGAAAATTAGTTAGAAACGAAATAGGATCATGTTGATAGCCTAAAAATTGATTATTATATTATTTCTTATAAAAATCTCAGGACTGTAACTTTAAAAGTAATTTTCTTGGGATTTGTGATGTAAAAAATCTGAAATTATTTGTGAGTGTGTCTGATGCCTCACAAAATCATATATAAAATTTTTAAAACATTCTGGAAACTCTTCAAATGGATATTCCACAATCCATTGTGTGTGGATTGTGGGATATTCTACCTTAAAAACCCTTAACAGGGTTTTTTAGTATAAAGTTCTTAAAATTATGTTTTAAAATTCGCGCCTCTAGTACGTACTTTACCGAAAATTTCAAACGATTAAATTGATTTAAGGAATTATAAACTTAATCTGATGTTGGAAATACAATTACGCAAAACCATTATTAATAACTAATCAATAGGTACTTTATATTACATTTATTATAACTTTTTTTATAGATTTTATACATGTAATAAAGCGAAATTTAGAAGCAAGTTAGAGTTTTATATTAATAATTATATGATGAAGATACATCAATTATCGCTAAGCACAAATTTTAATCTATTTGGAAGAGTCCTAAATGTTTTAAACGTGTTCATATT